TGAGATATTTATAAGCTCCAATGGCTTCAAAATTTGAGGCAAAAAGTGTCCATCCCTAGATTTTAGGGTATTGGTGGTACTACCACTATTATTGGGTGGCACCACCGCCTGACACTCTAACACTAGGCGGTACCACTACCCAGTCTAGGCGATACGATCGTATGACAAAGCTCGGAGACCGAGCTCTGACGGTACCACCGCTTGACAGCATTAATTGTCGATGGTACCATTGGCCAGACCACTTGGGAGACTGAGTCACCAGGCTATGCCATCACCGGCTGTGACTTCAAATGCTAAATGGGTTGTTCAACTGGCCCAATTTAGCCCTGTTAAGGGCTTAGTTGGCCCCTAACTGAGTTAGTGGGATTGCCTCCCAATCATAACTCAACTTAAAGTCTAACTACAATAATTTAAGACATTAACTAAGTAATCTTAGTCCGGTATGTCAATTGTTCTTTCGACGAGCTTCCAGCGATCTTCCGACGAATTTCCGACAATCTCTCGGCATGTTCCAATGGTCTCCTAGCAAGTTCCTAGACTTTATGACGATATTCTTAGCGAGTTCCGATGAGCTTCTTTGGCAAGCTCCTGGACTTCTCGGTCAATTCCGACAGAACTTCCGATGAACATCCGGACTTCCGACGAACTCTCGATCTTGACTCTAGCCCAACATCTACTTTATGCCTTACTGCTATTGCAGTTAACCCTATACACTTTTCTCAGCATATGTATTAGATCAAATAATTTACTAATTGATTTCATCATCAAAATTCGAGATTCAAAAATATAAACTAGTTAATAAATGATTATAGATCTTCTCTTTTTTTTTTTGTTCCTAAATTCATTGCTCATAGTAGTCCTACGAAGGATAGAAAGAGAGGAGAAGACGAATTTAATTCTTCGTATACATCAGTTTTACTATAGCCTTTATGTCTGATAATGATGTGCCCGTAGATCAGATAAAAGCTTTATCAATGACATCAAAAGATATGTATTGTAAATGTGATATATTATTATTTGATTCCAAATTTTAGTATTAATTCTTTTCTATAATAAAAATATAAGGATGATTTTTATGCTAATACTAATAAAGTTTGATAAAAACAAATTTAAATATTTCGAGTTCACCCAACGTCACTTTTCTTATTTGGTTATTATATATATACATAACTATTATTGATAATGTGACAACATAATATCTTTTAAATCAATTTCCTATTGTCCACGGGCAAGTGGTCAATGAGGATACTACTTAACTACTAACTAGTAATTAAATGGAACTCTTTGCCTCCACAGTTGAGGATACTACTTAACTAACTAGTAATTAAATAGAACTCTTTGCCTCCATAGTTACTTGTCTTGTCCCCATATACGTGACTAAAGAAATAAATTTTAAAAAATAGGTTGAAATGAGAGTTATTTATAGATTATCTTTGGTAGTTAGTTATCTTTAATATTTTAATTTCTATACTTTCAATTCTTATATATTTATGAAAGTAAAATATTTAATCTGATTACTCTAATAAAAAAATTTTCTCTCTTGATTTTTAACCATATAAAATTATTTTTTTAATCCGATATAAAAATCTAATGTTTCACTTTCAACAACAGTTGTAAGAGTGCATCACAATTCTTGCTTCACTATGTTTTTTATGTTATTATGAAAACATGCGTGCATTAACCCCTCTTTGCTAGTCAAATATGCACAGAAAAGGGAAAATATTGGCTCATTGTTCTTGTTATTGATTACAGGTTTAACCATAATTATTAGGTATTTTAAGTTCTTGATCATATATTTACTCTATATTTTTAAGCACGGTAAAAACATTTGTGGCTAAAATTGTCTTTAAATAATACAAAGTTTCAGGTGTGCTGCATTTTAGTCGTTCTCCTAATAGGTGTCAGCTGTAGGAAAACAATATTGTAAGTTAGTATTTTTTTTTTTTTAGGTTAAGGAATAACATTTTGAGCATTGGACTTACTAGTTGATACTCAAGCACCGACATATGGAGAGGAAGAAGAATAAGGATAAGAGAAAGAGGTGATGGAGTAATTGGAGAAAGAAAAAGGAAGAAGGAAAGAAGAAAAGATGAGGTGGCAGAGGAAGAGGAGAAGGAAGAGAAAGAAGAGAGGAGGCAGTGAGGAAAGAAAGGAGGAGGAGGAGGAGGAGGAGGAGGAAAGCAAAACGGGTGACGAGAACCCAAGGATGATGTTAGCACCTGGTGTTTCTCATGATAATTATATTGCCAAAATGGTTTTACATATCATCCGTTTTTCTTCCCTTTTCTTTCAAAGGGAAAATATAATATTTGTTTTTTGTATTTTCAGTTGATTTTAGCAGCGACCTACTTTGTCTTTGAATTCTATAATATCTTTCCACTTGTTGAATGGAGTTGATTGTGTTGAATGTGAGCATTTATTCTTAAACTTAAGCATTTATTGGATTGAAAAGACTACAACCTAACAAATGCATCTCCTTGTTTATCTTAATTTCTGAAATTTCTGATGAAAATAAATTGTTCCTCGTTCTGGATTTGTAACTAATTTGATAGATACTGAAACACTAGAATCCACAAGATGTATCTCATTTAGTACAACATAAAATGGGTTCACTACCACACAAATAGTGTCAGATGATTAAAATTTTATGTTATGACCAATTATTCAGACATTTTATATATTCTTTACTACAGTTAATTTCATTCTTAATCATATCACGCTAGTCCCATTTGTATATATATATATATATATATATATATATATGTATATACATATATGTGTATATATGTATACATATACATATATACACACATATATATATATATACATATACATATACACGTATATTTATATATATACATATATATATATACATATATATTAGTTGGTTTGTTATATGTTAGTTAAAAAAATGAATTATCAAATTCTTTATCGATTAAGCTAATTAACACCTTTAGTATTCAACATATTTAAAACTATCAATCCTTTAATTGATAATAATTATAATGTACAAGCAAAAAATGGTTATTTATATTGAATCTTTGGTAAACTACTTTGGATATTGTTCTCCTGTAGTGTTAGTATTAACAATTCATATTAAGGAATAAAATGAACTTTTTTTATTTCACGTAGGCTATTTTATGAATACCGAATCATTGCTGATTATTAAAGATGATTCTATGGGAATAAGTCATTTATGTCCCAAGCATTATATGCAAAACTAGTATTGGAGATATGCATGATGAAACTACTTAGAATGCTAAGTTCATGAAAAGGCCAACACGAGAATAAAAAAATATTTTCAAATTGAGATTATCTTATTCATGAGGTTGTAAGGGAATATCCTTGGAATGAAAAATATTTCCAAAAATGTTATCATCTTTTATAGCATAAAGTGTGTATCAGTTATAAACTCTTCATGCAGTGTAGATGACTTTCAATTTTAACAATATCTACCTTCAATATTAGCCATATCAACTAGTTATAACTCTTTGCCTCCGTAACTACTTGTCTTGCCCACATATACGTAAAGTAAAAATAAATGCAAAATGGATGCTGAAATGATGAAAAACTGAGATTATAATGCTTCAACGTTACTGAGACATAGTTTTAGATGCAATGAATATGATCATTTACTTATATATATATATATCGACAATCTGTATCTTACCAGAACTAACTTTTTCTTATAATTTAATGTTATATATATATATATATATATATATATATGTATATATATCTATGTGCATATATATGTGTATATATATATATATGCGTATATGTATATATATATATATATATGTGTATATATATAT